ATATATCCATCCATCCATCCATCCATCCATCCATCCATCCATCCAATCAATAAACATCTTGTCTATAATTCTGCCTAATCATTTTTAGCCATAGTCCAGTAATACTAGAATAGAGTGAAGGTCCCTGAAAGATTCTGTGTGAAAGGATAAGCAAATTTTGTGGTAATTTCTTAACAGGAGACCAGTCTTCTGCAGCAATATGGCCTAACAGTGGACCATACAGTGTTAGAAAATAGTTCTACACTGCAAAAAAAGAAAATTAAAAAAGAAAAAAATCTAGAAGGAAGTACTTGATATATAGGAACCAACAACCAAGTCACCAAAAACATTTGATTCCAGGTGCCTATTGTTTTTAAGTCATCTGTATTACAATCCCATTTAGCTATTGTTAGAACTGTGGCAATAACTTTGCTGTAATGAAAGCTCTCAGGCATTTTCAAGGCCAAGTACACATGCATCACAATAATCCAAATGGGAAATTGTCAAAGTATGGAACAAGTTGGCCTAAGTGTAGCTGAAGAATAGGCAAACTTGTCATATTTAATTATTTTTAAAGGTTTTTCTTTTTTTAAAAAAAAATTATAGAATATAACAATCTGTATTAAATTTATTAAATAGGTGGTTGCTCCCAAGAAAGCCCGCTTAGCAGAAGCCCAGCAGTCATTAGCACAGACTATGGCATTATTAAATCAGAAGAGAGATGAACTTAAAGCTGTTGAAGATCGTTTGGAAGCATTGCAACAAACCTTCATTGAAAAAACTGAAGAAAAAGCCCGCTTAGAATTCCAGGTGGATTTGTGTGCTAAAAAGCTAGAAAGAGCAGAAAAGCTGATAGGAGGACTTGGTGGAGAAAAATCAAGGTCAGAGAAAATGCTTTGTACTCATTTTAGCAAAACAATTATAAAGAAGAGAATACACACTTTTCAGTGATACTTAAGTGTAAAAGGTATTAAATGTTTACATATTACTATTTTTTTACTTTTTTACAACCTGAAAGAAATAATAACAATATTACAAGTTATTGACAAATTATTTTTTTTATTGATGATTGTTTGCTGCTATATGAAGCTCTTTGGATGTCTTACAATAACCTATACCTATGTGCCAGTATCCATAGTGAAATTAAGAATTACACCTCCTGGCAAACCTTAAGAACTTAGTATCTCTTATAGGAACATGTATACAGTTCCCACTTTTTACATCAGAAAGTATATCTACGCCAGGAAATGGAAATTTCTCACAAGGACAGTGAGATGTTCTGGGATTCCCATTTTTCTGAGCACATTCCACAGCTTGACATGTTTGACACAATCAAAGGGCTTTTTATAATTAATGAAGTACACAGTGAGTTCTTTTTGGTTTTCTTTGGTTTTCTTTGGTTTTCCAGCGTGCATCAGCAATAATGTCTCATGTTCCTTGGCCAGCTTTAACATCTGGCATCTCTTTTTTCAGGTCTCTAATCAGCATTGGATGATCCTAAGTATTATTTTGCTAGCATGTGAAATTAAGGATATTGTACTATAGTTTGCACACTCTGTTAAGTCTCCCTTTTTTTGGCATTGGAATTTGACCTCTTCCAATCAGTTCTCCAGATTTGCTGGCATAGCTTGGTTAGAACCTTTACTGAATCTTCTTCTGTTGCTTGCCGTATTTCAGTGGGTCTTTCATCTGTTCCTCTAGCCTTCTGACTTAGTGATGACCAATGTGCTAATCTAGCTTCATCTTCTACTACTAGTGGTTCTTGTAAGTAGGGAATATTTTCTAAGGTATCTTGGATGTTGACATCCCTACTGTACAATATTTCAGTTAATATTCCTTTCCTTGTTTTTAGTATACAAGACTTTTCTTGTTTTTCCATGTCTGTTTCCATCGACAGTGTCTTTACAAATGTTGTTGTAATACTGCTTCTTGTCTCTTCTAACATCTCTCTGAAACTCTTTGTTAAGTTCCTTTCTGAGATTTTTGTCTTTCTTGGCTTTGGCTTCTCTTTTTTTCTTATATATATATATACTTCTTGTCTCTTCTAACATCTCTCTGAAACTCTTTGTTAAGTTCCTTTCTGAGATTTTTGTCTTTCTTGGCTTTGGCTTCTCTTTTTTTCTTGGCAATTTCCACAGTTCTGACATCCAGTTTGCTTTCTTTTCTTTCTTCGATTTTGAGTCTCTTTTCACATTCATCCTTAACAACTTCTTTAAGTTCATTCCATAATTCCTCTGGTTCTCTATTAATGAGGTTCAGGACTTCAAAGTGATTCCTGATGTTCTCTTTGAAAAGGGTGGGTATATATTGTTGAAACTCACTGGCTTTCTTCTTCTTTAGCTTAACTTGGAACTTGTACCTGAGCAGTTCATGATCTGTTCCACAGTCAGCACATACCATATCTTTGATGCTGTAATTGAGCTCCTCCATCTCCTTTTAGTAACAATATAGTCAATCTGATTTGTATATACTCCATCTGGTGATGTCCACATATAGGGGCATCATTTTGGTTGTTTGAAGACAGTGTTAGATATGAAGAA